TCACTTGCAAAACTTTGTCTCTTCAGTGATCACATAAAGGCATTAAAGCCATTTAGGTTTCTTTTCTCTAAGAATAAAGTACTGTTGACAGAAAGTTTTACGAATGTTGGGAAAATTATTGTTGGAACCAACTCAAAAGATGATCAGCTGCAAAGCAGAAAGTATGAAAGGCGAAAATAAAGGACAACACCCTAGAGACTAAAAATTGATTGGGAATTCATCTGGAAAACACACAAGTGACAACTGGAATCCAAAGATCTTGAATCTATGGACAGCTGGAGGAACCACCAGAATAAGACATGTGTAAGCAGCTTCCCTACTACTTTACCCCTAGTGGGGAAAGGGTTTTGACAGATTGGGCTTGGCTTGCTTTGGATAAAGAACTGCAAGCTCTGGATACACTGGCACAGGAATTCTCCAGCAGCTGGGACCCCATCACTGACTCTCCACTTGTCTTTAGAGTCTAGTGTTGGGTGGTAGGTGGATGAGAGAAGACAGCATGGCTCCAGCAGCCACTGCCTCTCCTTTCATCAGCCTTGTCAGCTCTGCTCTTTCTTTCAGTCCCCATGCCTGTTCCACCTGCCTTCTCCTGAACATGTCTCCACTTCCCTTCCCTGGAACTCTCAGGCAATGTGCTTTGAGGACTGATTTCCTTTCCAACTCCTTATGGAGGCCCCGTACTTCTGGCAGCGGTATATAGACTCCTCCTTTCATCACTCCATAGTCCACTGTTTATAAGCAAGCAGTTAAGAGGACACCTTTGCAGCCTCTCTGAATCCAGCATGGGTCTCTCCTGAATTCAGTTGCCTTCAAATGCCATCTTTGTCTCGGATACCAAAACCACTATGCCCACTCAACTCTTTTCTGCTCCTGGCAGATTCAGAACAGAAAATATTTAGGGCTTTTGTTTTGGGAATTTGTGTTGAGGGGGAATGTCCTCAGATCAGTGTGCTGGATTCCCAGTGGGTAGCAGAGGCCATGCATGATGTCATCGCAGTGTAGCTGGGAGCAGGGGCAAAAAAAAGGAAGTCTCCCTCCTTCCAGTGCTAATGAGTTGTTAGATTGGCTCAATCAAGCTCAGGACACCACAACCTGAGCTAAGCTTCCTCAGGCCCTAGTCTCCATGACCCTATTGCTGGAGAGAAAAGAACAGCAGATACCCTGCTCTGATAGGTTTGTTACAAGGATTACTGAAATTCCTTTTGAGGTTGCCTGCAGCTGCTAAGCAGAGATAGCCAGGAATAGCATATGCCTGTGCCCCCTAAGAGCATCACAGTTTAGTGAATGTTGGTATTAAGTGGAGCATTGTATGTTAAATGGTACTCACATACTCAGAATGTTTTTCTGTCTTATACCTACTTCAAACCAAAGCATATTTTCTCATATCCACATCCAATAAACAATATTTCTCTTAGCCATATTTGCTGCAATGTGATTTGGTTTTGTTCTGTGAACCTGATTAATCAGTCCTTTGCATACTTTATATATGGAAAACTAAAAATACACTAAAACAGTATATGTTAATAAAAACCACATTAAAATTCATAAACTGCTACCATTCAATTTACTTCTCTTTACTATATCATCAGCTAATCAAACATAGCAGTATTCGTGGAGGATATCTTCCTCAATTTTTCTTTCTAGGCCTCAGAGATGTAGGTTTTCCCTTTGCAGAATAGGGTTTCCAAAGAAAAATACTATAAACCAGAGAATACTTGCAGACTCAGGAGAGAGCAGAAAATAATGCAAATTTCCCTGCCCCCAACATCCACATAGACCTTGAAATTACCATTTCATATGCACCAAAGAAAGTCTGTATGTGATGCATTATATTACACACACCTCCGCATTCATTTCAAAGCTGCTGGTGTTTAAGAGAAGGTGACTGCCTAAGGAGAAATCTTCCCAGAATTCAATTTGTCTTCTGTATCTATCTTAAAAATTATAGCTCCAAAGTACAAAACCCTTAATCTCCAAAGATTTGGGAAAAACCTTCACGTTCTGAGCTACATTGTCAGATTATCCATTTGCATTTTCAATATAACTATATCAATTCTGCAGAAAACTTACCAAAAAAAAGAGCACTGACCTTAAGAAATGATAACTTTTCTCTGCCACCTTCAACATTTCAATAAGTGTTGTTGCAGCCTTTATCTAAATCAGAGCACTGTTATTATATCATGGAATATTTTGAAACTGGACCTTTACATGTATATATAAGAAAGAATCCAATTTCAAAATGAAATACTCTTCAAACTGCTTCAAAATAAAGTATTTAAATAGGATCTCTGGCTCCTCCACCTCTTATATCTGAGATCCCCCCTCTCTTCAAGGATCAAGAGTATGGACAACAGCCTAGACAGGAAAATTAAAGATGGAATGTTACAAGCCTTACAGTAATTCCCCAAAAGCCAGCCATTTTAAGTTAAAAAAAAAAAAAAAAAAAAAAAAAAAAACAACAAAAAACACCCCCCCCAAAAAAAAAAAAAAAAAAAAAACTACAAACCAACAAACCTTCATATGTGAACTAAGACCTGATATAAATCAAGGGATAGCATTAGTTCGAATTCCAGTGTATTCTCCCTACAGCAGCATGTGGCCTAAATAGTCAAATGACTGTTATTAAAAAGATGCTGAAAGCATAGCACACATATTTAACTTGTTATGCATTATTGGCTGTTGTTACAGTTGGGATTTAATGGTTATTTGCAGATTCATTGTGGTCCATGGCAACTCATTTCCTCTCAATAACATAGTAGGTTATTCATACAATTATTCAATCTGTGTTCCAACAATCTGTGGAACACCATTCCCATATAACACCTTCAACACAAAGTTACTGAGAAATTTAGGGTAAGAAACACACGTTAACATAAGTCTGTTGATTAAATGATTAACCTAGACAAAAAGTCTCTGATGGGACCTGTATAGATTCATGCATTTATAACATGGTAGATGAAGTAGGGCTTCATCTACAACAAAACAGAAAGTCAGTGTGTGATGATTTCTTTTGTATAGTTGAGCTGACTGTTTCATTAAACCTCTGGGCATATTCATCAAGCCAACCTGGCTATTAAGCATCAACTTCCTGGAAGCTAAAAAATATTCCCATATGAATATGAATCTCAATTGCATCTCTGATTTAGTGCTTCCAAGCTCAGTGAGAATAATCACTTAACATTTGCCAGCACTGACCTCTTAATAGCATACTGGAAGTTAAAGCACAGTGTCTTTCTGCAATCTCATATTCAACAGAGTGAATCCCATTAAGCTGAATCTTGATGGGACATAGAACACAAAACCTACAACTAACTGAAAGAACAAGTAGAAACTGTAGCTAATTACACAAGAAGAAAGCAAGCCAGATACATTATTATTAAGAGATTCCGCAGACTTTAAATTAAACTTCAGAATGCTTATAAGCAATGTTGTACTGCTTTTAGCCTAAGTAAGACCAAAAAGGCATGTGAAGGGAGACTTTAAGGACGTGATAGTAGGCAAGAAGTATAGAAACAGTTTGACATTGAATAGCTAGAACAGAGCACAGCCTATAAATCAGTTCAGATAATCACAGGGAACAAAATTAAGCTATAAGTTACATCTAGAGTGTCCAGAGAGAAATTACCACCTGCTTTCCTTCTTAATATTCATGTAGTTTTACATTGTTTATTAGTTTATAAAAGAAGTGTTTGAGACAGTATTACTCTTTTCATGCTAAACATGCCTATAACACTAAAGTTATTGGTCCTTTACAACTTCATACATGACACTTGAGTAACCTTGGGCCACTCAGTACTTTTTCTTAAGAATAATACTAATTTCCAATAGATAGATTCTTCTCTTTCAATTAAGTTTTAAAAAACTAGTGTATATCTATTTCTTGTATACAATACATTATTAGATTGTATTGTACAATATTTTATTTGCTGCAGTACGTACATAATCTTTCCAAGAAGGTTTTTCAAAATAGTCTTTTGCTATAACTTTAGTTTCCTGTGGACCTATAATTAATCTCTACAGGATCCTAGGTCATGTCCAGGAGCAAATAAAGGATTAGGAATTTCATTTAGCAAATTTTGTTTGCACACCAGCACTAGAAATAATATATTTGGGAAAAGACTATTTTGTTGGATAGTTTTAGCCATAAAACCTAATGAACTGAGTTGCATGGAAGTGCTTTTGTTCTCCCACAGGAAGCAGAAATGCCATCTGTGTCACAAGACAGCTTTCTGCAAGCGACAGCTTTGCTTATCGCACATTCTTTACCGGTTTAGTGGTGGATTTGGCAGTGCTGGATTAACAGTTGGACTTCATGATCTTAAAGGTCTTTTCCAACCTAAACGGTTCTACGATTTTGCAGCTTAGCTGTTCTAGACCAGTCTTTCTGTGCTGAGACAATAGCATCTCTACATTTTTCATTCTTTCCTTTTTTTATTCCTGAAGTTAAACACATGGGCAATAGCACCTCCCAGTTGCACTGTGGAAAATTATATGCACAAGAAATACGAAACTGAGCTTAAAGAAAAACATAACGTGCGAGCCTGGTGGGAAGGTACATTACAACAGCATTTCCGAATGACCACTTTTTCACTTAATTTCTAATTTGTATTTTCATACCGTTTGGCACATTTCACACCATATTCCTGAACTGTGAATTTGGGGAAAATAAAACGCTTCTCATCGCACCACTTTTAGCCATAAAAGGTAATAAACTGTACTGTATGGAAATATTTCCAACTCGGGATATTCTGTGATTCGATTACTTGTTTTCCCACACAAGGACTTCATTTTCGGTCTTTGCTGAGTCTCCTGTGTTTGAGACCCTGCAGCTCCTCACAGGTTCACCCTCACTACAGCGGCTGTCTGAGCAGCTCACCACCTCCACAATTCCCCGATCCCCTCACACCCCCCCGCGGTCCCTAATGGGATGTTCCACTTGGGGCGGGCGCCCGCAGCCAAGGCAACGGGTGGGACGTTCCACCGCAGGAACTCAGGGGGCGCGGCTTCCGGGCGCCCACTTCGAAACGGCAGAGCGTCGCCGGCCCCGCCATGACGCAGTCGGTGGTGGTGCAGGGTAAGGAGTCAGGGTGCCCAGAGCCCCCCGCCGCTACACCGTCCCCGTGCCTGAGCCGTGTCTCTCCCCTTTGCAGTGGGACAGTGCGGGAACCAGGTGGGCTGCCGGTTCTGGGACCTGGCGCTGCGGGAACACGCCGCCGTCAACAAGGTAAGGGCACCGCTACCGCCGCGGCTCCGGCTGCCGCTGGCCCGGGGCGAGCGCCCTCGCCGTGGGGAGGCAGCGGTGCCCCTGCGCTCCCTTCCGCCTTCGTCGCTGTGACTGCAAAGCTCTGTGTTTGTTTGATTAAACTAAGGCCGCTTCACTGTGAGCAAAACTACCCCCAGGTTCTTGTGCCTTTTAACTAGTCATGAGTTTTAACTGCCAAGAGACCTTGATAAGTCAGAGGGCTGGGCAATCACCAACCGTATGAAGTTTCAGCAAGGGAAAGTGCTGGATTCTGCACGTGGGATGGGACAACCCCAGATGTGTGTACAGACTGAGGAATGAGAGGCTGGAAAGCAGTGCCACGGAAAGGGACCTGGGAGTCCTGGTGGATGGCAAGTTGAATATGAATCAATATACCTCCCTGGCAGCCAGGAGGGCCAACCGTGTCCTAGGGGGCATCAGGCAAAGCATCACTAGCTGGTCGAGGGAGGTAATTGTCCTGCTCTGCTCTGCACTGTGGCAGCCTCACCTTGAATATTGTGTGTAGTTTTGAGCAGTGCAACATAAAAAAGACATTAGGCTATTGGAGAGCGTCCAAAGGAGAGCCACAAGATGGTGAAGGGTTTGCAACAGAAGCCATATAAGGAGTGGCTGAGGTCATTTGGTCTATTCAGCCTGGAGAAGAGGAGACTGAGGGAAGATGTCATTGTGGTCTACAACTTCCTCATGAGGCAAAAAGGCAGAGCAAGCACTGATCTCTTCTATCTGGTGACCAATGATCATGGCTAGGCTTTGCGAACGAAGATTTGGGAAGGCTCTATCCACATTTGTTACAAGCACGCTGGTGGCTAATAAGGCCAATACGAGACAGACATGTCCGATTGCAAAAGGCACAGCAGAAGGACTCCTTAGGTGGTATATTCTGCAAGGCACGATTCTTTCTGCCTTGTATTTTCTCCTTGAGAGTGATCCTGCGTGTGTTCTCAAAGGAAGCAACAGCGTTATAGATGGTGTGTCTCCAGGCCTCCCAGCTGGAGGCCAGAGTAGACCAGTTATGTTGATCAATATGGCCAAGGCTGAGATGTTGCTTCAGGGAGTCCTTGTATCTTTTCTTCAGGGCTCCTCTCTTGCGGCAGCCAGTGGCAATTTCACCATAAAGCAAGATCTCAGGGAGGCGGTGGTCCTTCATCCTGGAGACGTGCCCTGCCCAATACAGCTGTGTTCTCAGCAACATGGCCTCAATACTTGTGACTGCTGCTTGTTCTAGAACAGACATATTGGTCACATAGTCTGACCAGTGGATGTTTAGGATTGTACGGAGACAGCGTTGATGGAAGCGTTCTAGGAGATGCAGGTGGTGGCGGTAGATGACCCACGATTCGGAGCCATATAAAAGAGTAGACAGCACAATGGCTCTGTAAACACTGATCTTGGTACTTTTCTTCTAGTGTTTATTACGCCATACTCTTATGGAGTTTTCCGAAAGCACTATATGCCTTTGCTAACCTGTTGTCTATCTCTCCCTCAATCTTACCATCCAAGGAGATGAGGCTACCTAGGTAATTAAACTGCTGGACTGATTTAAGCTCTGATAGGACCCATGGGAATGTCCTGAAGTTGTGTCAAGAGAGGTTTAGGATGGCTATTAGAAAACGGTTTTTCACCCAGAGGGTGGTTGGGCACTGGAACAGGCTCCCCAGAGAAGTGGTCATAGCATCAAGCCTGACAGAGTTCAAGAAGCATTTGTGTGATCCTGTCAGGCACATGGTGAGACTCTTGGGGTGGTCCTGTGTAGAGCTGAGTTGGACTTGATGATCCTTGCAGGTTTCTTCCAGCTCAGAATATTCTGTGATCCCTAATTCCGATCAGCTTTCTCCAGCCTTTCCACCTTGAAAAGCCCAGGATGTCTCCCTACAGCCAGGCATTACCAGGTTTGAGGCAGTAAGTGACAAGAGAGGACTGTTCAGTGTGAGTTCTTTGCCACTGGCAGGAAAGCAGAAGGACAGCCCCCCAAATTCCACTGTTGTTCTCCATTTTAGCTTGTGCTGTAAAGTTGCCATACAACTGTGCTAAAGAAAATAGCACTGTGAAGAGGGCATAGGATTGTGCTGAGTACCTTGAACAAAATCACACTTTCCTTGCTGTGACTATAAAGATACTGTTTCCTAGTTAACACAGTATATTAACAGATAATGATGAGGAGTCTTCAGTGCCTTCTCTAGAAGCAATGGGTGAAGTTCTTATTGTGTGTGGAGAGTCTTTTGGTTGTAGTGTAGTACAAAACAGTGTCTTCCAAATTCTCCCTCACCAGATCTTGAGTATGGTAAGTAATCTGTAAATAATAATGTTAAAGTATTTTAACTTGCCAGGTCTCTTTAGCTTTATGGCGGGGTAAGTAATTTGCGTGCTGTCTCTCAGCAGGGATTTTTGGAATCACTGATGCAGTGTGATATGTTTTCCTTTTCACAGAACTTCATGGGCATTGAGCCCATGATGAACTGAGTATTGTGTAAGTGATAAACTGAGTCAGCTAAACAGCAGCTATTTGATTTAATAATTGCCTTGGGATCTTCAGTAAGCCACTACAGTTGTCTAATCTTGTGCTGAAAAATTAATTTTCTAGTTATGTCTTCCTGTCAGTTTTTAATAACAACCTGATTTTTCAGTGAAATGTTCTGTTTAGAGCTGACTAGAGCTAGCTGGATTCAACATAGATGTTTACTCTGTTTTGAGTGGTGAGGTTTGACAAGTGACCTTCAGAGGTCTCTTCCAACTTAAATTATTTTATGAAAAAACACTGAGAATTTTTGACGTTACACATCATTTTGTGTTGTTTCCTTTTAGAAAGGAATTTATGATGAAGCCTTAAGCAGCTTCTTTAGGAACGTAGATACAAGGTAAGTTGTCTTATCAAGAAGCTCATGAGTTTAACGCAGTGGATCCACACTTCAAGTGTCTTCTCTTAACCTAAGTAATAATTTTCTTTTTTTCAAGTCATACTTAGTTTGTGCTAGGAAAAGATTTTGCTTTTTTGTATTCTTCTCTAAACTTCCATTTTAAGTATACTAACTTCAGTAGTTAAAGATGTTGAAAGTTTGGATTAACCAATTCATATCTTAAGAGCATTCAGTCATCTGTTATCTGTCTAGTTAGAAAAATCCTTGCAATTTGGAAGAATAAAATGTGCACTTGGATATTGCTGTTGTCTTTAAATTAATTAAAAAGGATTTGACCAACCTCTTTTTCCTTCCATCATATGACAAGGTTATAGTACAGCATGTGATTTTAATTAAAATGGCATTGAAATACAAACTGTTTTATCTCAAATTTTACCTCTTTGAAAGAACAATGCAAATGCATTGAAGTTTATGATTGCCACTCCTTGTGGGTATTTCCTGGAATAACTTTTTTTTTTTTAAACCAAGAAAATTTGATTGTAAAAAATGCCCATGTTTCTGTACAAGCCTGATGAAATCATCAAATTTTTAGTTGGGAGGTTGACTGCAATAGAAACATCTGTTTTCTTTCTGAGCAACTTGGTCTAGTGGAAAGTGACCCTGCCCATGGCAGAGGGGTTAGAACTAAATGGTCTTTAAAGGTCCTTTCCAACCAAAACCATTCTGTGATTCTAGGAACATGGAGGGTTTTTTTCAGCAATTGAATCCAAGTGATTGAAGGAATGGTCTCTCATGAAAGATCACAAAGACAACAGGAAGAAAAAGAAGTGTTGTTTTGGAGTTGGGTTTTTTCCTCTTTGAGTTTTGTTAGTCCCTGAAGAGAAATAGAACTTCTCTAGGTGTATTTAGTGCTGCTATAGCAGACTCACATAGGTGTTGTGTAGGCTAGAGGAATCACATGAGTACTGGAGGCTGCTATGAGCTGTTCAGCTAATGAGAAGTGTCTGGAGAGCTTCTTTGAGTGAGAAGATGGAAAATCCTGGAAGAATTCAGCGCAGCCCCATACTCTTTTCCCCTCATTTCTTATGGGACTGAGTAGGGTCAGAACACTGGCACTGTAGCAAATTTTAGCTGATGTTTTGGGAATATTATTGTGGTTGAATGTAGAATGGTCTAATACATACTTTAGGCTTGGCCAGCTCCCAAATCAGGTAAATAACTGAGGGGAAAATTAGATCCATCTCCCAGTATCCCTGCCTTTTTTCCCCTCTGTTCAATATAGTTTGGCCAGACTGGAGTATCTCATTTTTTGAGTGCAGAAGCACCAGCATTCGTTGTTGAAAAAATATGATTGTAGCACAATGCATAGTCTCCTATGTTGGCTCATTACAACCAATCCTGGGAAAGAAGTAGCTATGTCATCCCAGCATGATTTCTGAACTGGTAAATCTTAATAGCAAAGTAAGTCAAAAAGTGCTGTGCTAGTGCAGTAACACGGGTTTCACACCTGAGCAGAAGTACAGTGTCGTAACGACCCCCACTGAAAACCTTGTGGGGCTGCTTGGTGCGCTGTGTTCAATTATGTGATGCAGATACACATATTACATGCTGATAAAAGATAATCCTTTCAAGTTCTGGCAAACTGTAGAATTCCCGTAGAATTACCCTGAGATTAAACATTAAATACTTCTCTTTTCAGCTTCTTGAAGTAATGCTTAGGCTATTTCTGACTGAGGTAGTGTCCTGTAATTGCATTACTTCCGGGAATTGTGAGGTCTTTCTTAGCAGTATGTTCAGGGTGTTTCTGTTTGTTTGCGTTGTCATACTCCTTTGAACACAAAATATTAAAGAGAAAATTTTATTATGTTATGTATTTTCTCTTACGAATCTGAGCTTAGATTTTTCTGTTACTGTTTTTTTTTCAGAAGTGGCAGTGATGGTCCTGGTATTTACAAAGGAAAAATCTGCTCTTTAAAAGCACGAGTAAGGCAATCTATAAAGGTCATTCTTTTTACATTGCATATTTACGTCCAACTGTGGGAATTTTCATAAAGTCCTTAAAATTGCATACAGGTTTAAATACTGCCTTGAATAGTAGAATTTCTAATAGTAACTTTCATGGTTCATTCAAGTAATACAGTTTGCTGCCAGTCTTGTTGAGTAATTTAAATTGTAATTCCAATAAAATGATTGCAGATATTAGTAACTAAGTATTTATTTGAATTCTCTAAGAAGTGGGTTTCCTTAAGCCACTTTAAATGATTTAAGAAGCAAGAAAACTTGAAACAAAATATTTTAAGGTCTTCATTTCTGTCACGGGAAAATATTATAAAATTTTAACAAAATGTCATTATCTGAAATGCTGTCCTATTGAGCAACTTCTGGCAAATCAGCTAAGGTTAATCTAGTTGGTGTCCTAGTTAACAACTGGGAAAAAAAAAGGTTTCTCTGGAGCAGAGTAGAAACAGTATACCTTTTATATTGTAAATAATTTTACCTTTCTTGGTGGGTTATTTCAAGGGTGGTTTGCTTACTGACTGAATTTTAATTCTTTCTCTTCTCAAAGGCACTGTTGATTGACATGGAGGAGGGTGTGGTAAATGAAATTCTGCAGGGACCATTGAGGGATATGTTTGATAGCAAGCAGCTTATCACAGATGTTTCTGGTTCAGGAAACAACTGGTGAGAACCTCTTCAGAACACATTTCTTAGCAACTAATTAGATGGCATTTGAAAAGGGAAATGATAACCGTAGCTTTCTGTTTCATTCTGCACCTGGGGAGCTGCAGCATTTTACCAGCAAACTTGGAGTCACTGTTGCCTGGAGGAGGGCTTTGAAAAGGCTTTTACAGAACAATAATTTTGCTGATACACCATTTTGTGTATTTTTTTCTTCCTCTTTTTTGATTTTTGTTTCAAAAGAACATGCTTTTTATTTTTGTTTCTTTGGTATTCAACTGCTTCCATTGCTCAGTCTAAGCCATAATCTAGTTTGAGACTGTGCAACTACTGTGGAAATGAGATATATGAACAAATACATTTCTCATTTCTAAGCACCACAGAGTCTGGCTTTGTGCGTCTAAACTACGTTCCCAAAAAGAGAAATTCAGAAAAAGATTGATTAACATAACAGATTGCAAATTTTCATGGAGACCCTAATGTGCCTCTAATAATATTCGGTGCATTACAGACTGGAAAGCAAATCATCAGCAAATGTGCCAAAAGGGAGGGCAATACAGGGAATAAAACATCCTGTAACTTCACCATCTAGCAGGCATGTGTATGGAAAATGAGCTGTTTGGGTTTTTTTTTTAATTACTGGTATCATTTGACTTGCATAGTACTCAAAGGAAGATCAGTACACATTTTGCATAGGGGTATCCTTATTGTTAAGGAGTATATAATTTTCATTTCATTATTACAATTAGATCATCCAATGTGGGAGTTTATTTCCTGATCGGTACAAAATAACAGTGCATGCTCCAAATGTGAACTTAGTGCTGCTTGCATCCTCAAAATTAAAACCATATCCTGACTCCCATATTCTCATTATGTAGACACAGCTTGGAAACTCTCACAGATGAGATGTTGCACCCAGCTTTGGACTCTGAAGTCTAAACTGTCAAATAGAAGGAGATAAAATAAAAAATTGAAAGATTGATGGAATATTTTTCTAAAGTACTTTTTATATCCTCAGGGCTGTAGGTCATAAGCTATATGGCTGTCAGTACCGGGAAAACATTGTGGAAAAGCTGAGGAAAACCGCAGAACATTGTGACTGTCTGCAATGTTTCTTTATAATTCATTCCATGGGAGGTGGTAAGTAATGTCTTTATAGTGAGTATGGTTGCAGTAGCCACAGATGAAAAACATGTATCTTGAAAAGAAGATAAACATAATAATTCACATTATTCAGAATGTGTAATAAAAAAAAAAACACAGTGGACCTGTAGTGATTTATTACTTATTTTGTTAGACCACTAAGGAGCCCTAATGTGTTACCCAGAGCAAAAATGCTGCTAAAATTTTAAATGTGATGCAATGGATGGATCAAGGCAGGTACCAAAGACAAATAAACTCCTCGGAATTACTGACCAGAAGAAGGGTCAGTGGCCTCTGAACACTGATGTCATTGTTGTAATCAAATTGCTTTTAATCATGGGGAAAGCGTTTTCTGAAAGGCTTGAAGGAGACTTCAAATGTTGCTTTAGAAAAATTTTGTTTTTCTGTTTTCCTTCCACATAATTCTCTTGAATCCAATCTAGTTGCTTTGTTAGTAAGTCAAAAGGGAGAATCCTTTGCCACTAAGCCTTCCTAGCCCAGAAACCTGGGAGCAGCATGTATTATAACTGGCTATGATGTGGAAAAAGACACAGAAAATAGCTCTAAATATGAAGCAAGAGCTCTGTCAAGGGCCTTTTTTGTGGCCGTTTGCTTAATTTCAGAGACCCTGCAGATACTGTTTCTGTTATTGCAGAAAGTTGCTGTCTTGTTCATAAGAATAAATTGTCTGCCACTGAGAATGTAGCTGCAAATTCAGAAAAAGATCACAGTTCAGTTCTCAAATTTGAGCTCACTGCTGTGTTCTTAGTGATAATGAGGAAAAAAGCTTGTGTGCTGGTAGAAAGGGATGGTTCTGTTTTGACTGGAGAATGAGAAAACTTTATAAAGAAACCCTAAAAGGAAAGAAGGTAATTGTTTGGGGCAGTTCAGTGCTTTCAAGCAAATGTTTTGTTTCAAAATCCAAATAAAAATTTTAAAATAAGAAATAGAAATGCTAACTTGGAAAATGTTAGTTACATAATAGGACTTTTTGGATTGCAGAAATTTTTGAGATTATATACTTCATCCTGAGTGGTATACTGTGGAAAATACTTTTTTTACTTAGTTATTTTCCTGTCTGGTAAAAACCTTCCTACCTTAAGTTACATTTGAGTAGCCTCCACTGTCAGCCAAATATTTCAGAAAATATTCATTAACATATATAATCGAAAAGTTGTATGTCTCCAATATGTGAGTCTTAGGGCCTAAGATAACATGGGGAACCTTAACCTTTTATCTTCTCTCATTCTGTTTTCGTTCATAATTAGGGACAGGATCTGGTCTTGGAACTTTTGTACTAAATTTGCTTGAGGACGAATTCCCAGAAGTGTATAGATTTGTTACTTCAGTTTATCCCTCTGGTGAAGATGATGTTATTACTTCTCCATATAATAGTGTTCTGGCTATGAAGGAGCTTAATGAACATGCAGACTGTGTGTTACCAGTAGAGAATGAAGTAAGAATTAATATTATATTTCTGTCAATTTTTTTTAATTAGGCTGCACAAATTTCTCCCTTTTCTGTATTGATTTGAGTACCAATTAAAGTAATAATTAAAGTTCTAAGTCGCAGGCTTTTGAAATGAACATGAGTATCACTAAAAAGTTGCTCTGCATCTTCAAAGTAGTCTGGAGTGAATTTTTTGTCTTTTTCAAGGTAAACATTAAAAAGCTTCTATTTACTGAGAGAGGGTGTCTTCTTTTAGCAATCATTTTGTGCATAGTATTAATAGAGTGTTGCAAGAGAAATGACAAACCACTCCAGATTCCAACAGACTTAACTGTGCTGATGAGGAGATAGGCTGATAGGAGAACCATAGGCATACCTGACCTTGCAAAGTACTAGACCCGTTTGAATCTAACTTCGGTGACTGTCTTGGTATTTGTTTATGAAAAAAGCAAGAGAAAGTGATATATAGTTAGAGAATATATTTTTCGTTTCACAGGCATTATGGAAATTTAATATTCATTTTTAGAGGATAAGGATTTTAAACATTTGAATAGAATTCAAATTTCTGTGTCAAGCTTTATACATACTTGTGACATGTAAGGAACAGGCTTTTAGAAACACTTCAGTCAACTGGAATTGCTCAAAAGTTGGACTTAGATGTATCAAAGGAATAATCTTTGAGCTAATAGTACTTAAAAGCCAACAGGTTTTTAAGATTAATAGAAGTGAAAAATTGGGGTACTGAATTTGAAAGTTCTTTGCTCAAGACTTCTTTGCTTTTTTTTTTCTCTCTTAAAGTCTCTGTTTGATATAGTTAATAAAATTAATCAGATGATCAATTCTGGGAAACTGGGGTCAACCGTGAAGCAAAATAGCTTGGTAACATCAAGTACAGGCAGTGTAAAAACTCTCCAAGAGAAGCCATTTGATGCAATGAATAATATCGTAGCCAACTTGCTGCTGAACCTGACAAGGTAAAGTTACAGGTTATTCCTCTATAAAAAAGTGGTATTGCTGGAGGTGGTGTTTGCTGCAAATATGCAGACCTGGATCAACTTGAATAATATAAATTGATTTTCATTTGATATGAGTCTTCTCTTTTTAAGAATTGGTTACTAAATGCTGAGGTATTTGGAAGTATTCAGATTGTAGTGGTGTTGCTTTAGCCATGACAGTCTTAAAACTGAAGTAAATTTGTAGGCAGAAGGTGCTCAGTGGAGCCCAGAAAGGTTTGCCTTTCTAGCGCAGTTGTATTACTTTATAAATACTGTCAGATCATTTTTGCTCCTAAATGGTCTATTACTGCAAGAAATATACTTCTGGAGTATTGGCCTGGTTTTCTTTTAAACAGCTTGTCAGGAATGCTGTCACACATGTTTTATTATAGCTTGTTTAGTAAAACTGGTATTAATTAACTGGTATTAGTCAACTATGTCCACATACTGAAAAACAGTGCTAAAGACTGCAATTGGGAAACAAGGTCTTATTCTTGATGATTTATTGTTCTTTAATGAGAAGTATAAGTAAATAAGACTTAGCACTGATTCTGCCAGATGTGAAAGTTTTGTAATTATACGTGAAGGGTTTCTTGAATACTGTGTTGTTTTACTGTTTTATTGTACAGAACAGTTGAAAAATAGATTTAATGGAGGTTGACATTATAGAAGTGATTTCCTTGGTTTATAATAGTTTTATAATGGTTTTTTAATTTTCAGCTCTGCTAGATTTGAAGGTTCCCTGAACATGGATCTTAATGAAATCAGTATGAATTTGGTTCCATTTCCTCGACTTCATTATTTGGTTTCAAGCTTGACTCCTCTGTATACGTTGGCGGATGTTAACGTACCTTCTAGAAGGTAGGAAAAAATATTATGGGAGTTTCACATTTAAAGCTTAATTTCTGATTCTTCCGTAGTTCTTGTTAAAAAATTCCATTTTGTAGCAAAACTAAGGGTGGAAGTTCTAAAACTTTTAAGTCTGCCACATTTTCAAATTCATCCTGTTGATTTTTGGAACATCTGTTGTCTCTTTTCTCTGTAATGGTTGAACCAGTAAACTTGACATCTTTTTAATCTCTGTTGGGAAATGTTTTTGTTGGAAAAATTTATTACTTAGAACCCACACCACAAGTTCTTTTGAGTAACAGTTTGCACTTGACTGACAAAATACTGTAAAGACAAACAAGGAATTAAACTAGACTCTTTGGGAAGTAATGGCATCTTAATTGAGTCTGGAGGTGCAATGTGCCTATCAACTTATTGTAATGATAAGCCAACACTATTGTAAAGTTCTTTGAGGTATTTATCCCTCTGACGTAGCAGAAAAATAACCAGTTAAAATAGATTTTACTGGATTTAGTGAATTAAGTTCAATCAGCTAGAGGTCCAAATGATGATAGAAGCAACTAAAGGTAAGTGATGAAAGTATGCAAAGCAGAGGAGAGGGCAGGACCACCCCTATTCTGTGATAGCAAGTTGTGACAATCAGTTGTATCTGTTGAAAACATTCCTTGAGGAGACAGTACAGTGCTGGGGGAAGGAAGCATACTATGGGGAGATGCTCAGTCAAGGATGTCTCAGAATGAAGTGGGAACAGTAATATTTTTGTTTCCTTTATTTAGTTATTTTTTTTGTAGTAGGCAGATTGTGGCAGAGGTGATATAAGAAAAAAGAAATAGAGGTGATGAATGCAGAGAGTTTGAGACAAATGGAAAGAATAGCTTAGATGTTGTGGGTCCACAGGAACGTCAAGACACCATCTTTGGTATCCCACAGTACAGTGAAACTTGCTTAAGGAAGTGAAGAGAGAAAGAATATGATCAGCAGTCGTGCCTGATAAAATTAGAATAAGTAGACAAGTATGTATAGTCTGTCTTTTTCTAAATCATTAATCCAAATCAATACTGTTCTATGATTCGTTGATCCTTTTAAATAATGAATTGTAATAGGCAGGTAACCAGTTCTGTAAGGGTCAGCAGCACTTTGATATTCCTTGTCAGATCCTTCACAGTGAGATTGTCCACTCAAATTGTCATAAGACCTTGTAACTATTGACCTCAAATTGCCTTTATAAAGGCAACTTCTCTGACTCAGCAGTGGCTTGTAACATGAGGGAGAAGAGTAAAAAATGCATCCAGTGTATTTTTAAAAACTTGCAATGCCAACATATGTATGTGTAAAAGTTTGAATCTTTTTTCTATAATTTATGGTCCCAGGTTAGATGTACCTTTATCTCCAGAATTTTATGAACTTTCAAACCCTGCAGGTGGGTGTTCTGAAAAGCTTTTGTATCCTACTTTAATAAGAGTAGGTAACTGTTTTCTTTTCACCTAGGTTGGATCAGATGTTTTCAGATGCATTTAGTAGAGATCATCAACTAATTCAAGCAGATCCAAAGCACAGCCTCTACCTTGCCTGTGCACTTCTTGTTCGAGGAAATGTGCAGGTTTCAGACCTTCGCCGAAATATTGAAAGGTTTGTAATACCACACAAAGTAGTCATGGGAAACTGTTGTCAGTCATCCAGAGCAGTCCCACTTTTCATTTGAAGAGTTTCAATACCAAATCAGTTTACTCAGAAATATTTTTCTGAATTTTAGAAGGGAAGAAACTGTAATTAACTTATGCAATGAGTGAGAATAAGTCACAGCATTCCTGGATTTTCAAATAAAGGAAGCTGACTAGATATCCCTGTACTGCTCCTCCCTTTCTCAAAAATGCAAAAGAAAGCAAAACCCAACCTTCCAGGGGTCTCCTGACAGTAAAGGATATTGGAGAAGTACGTTCTGTAGTAGAAATTTTTTTTTTTACTGAACGGAAGATATCTCTCTTTCATAGTTACTGTCATGTAGATAGGAAATCATCCTTATTTTGACAACTGTATTGTTAGCACCCTGGTACTACCTTTTACACTATTGAGCTACACAGATATAACAGGAAAGGCAGGCAAGCTTCACATACAGAAGGGAGTTTATAGGCAGACAGGGAAGCATGGGGAAAATTTCTGAGAAGCTAAAGCATTTAACTTATTTCAAAACTACAGGTCAACTGATTGTCCCCACACAGTATTAAGCTAAAGCATTTAACTTATTTCAAAACTACAGGTCAACTGATTGTCCCCACACAGTATTAAGCTACCCCTTTCCTAAATTTCAGAGCGCTTACAGTCTCTTTTATAGAAATAGGTACTTGTAACTTCATCTTTCAAATCCTGATACATTAAATTAACAAAACAATATTGGTGTTTGCAATTTGACTTTCAAACAGACTCAGTGGTTTAGTCTGAAGTCTAAAATGTCTTATTCACAATGATAGTTATAACTGTCCTGCTTTGTTCTGAAAGCTTAAATGTTAACCTTTTCAGATTGTTAGTTAAGACAGAAAACTTAGCCTTCATGTTCTTTACATTCCTTAGATAACTAAATTTTTGTGTCACAGGTTAAAACCTTCTCTGCACTTTGTCTCCTGGAATCAAGAGGGCTGGAAAACTGGTTTGTGTTCAGTACCTCCCGTGGGCCATTCCCATTCACTTCTGGCTTTAGCAAACAACACCTGCGTAAAGCCAACTTTCATTGAACTCAAGGAGAGATTTATGAAGCTCTACAAGAAAAAGGTGCAACTCTTATTGTTGTAATATCCGTAGTCACTAATCATTAGCATCTTGTGTTATTGGGAAGCAAATCTTAGTATGGCAAAGGGACTGCTTAAAATTAACAGCCCAAGATTTTTATTTATGTTACCTGAAAAGGAGCCATTCCAACAGCTGCTTCTTAAAAAGCGTAAATCCCTTATTAATCTGTACTACCTGGCAATATCACAGAATCATAGAATGGTATAGGTTAGAAGGGACCTTAAAGGTCATCTCATTCCAACCCCCCTGCAATGGGCAGGGTTACTTTCCACTAGACCAAGTGTTTCAAAGCCCCATCTAGCCTGGCCAGGAACACTTCCAGGGAGAGGACATCCACAGCTTTGCTGCGCAACCTGTTCCAGTGCCTCACCACCCTCTAAATAATTTCTTCCTCATATCTAATCTAAATGTTGATTCCCACCAAGCTTTTCTCTCGCTTCCCTTCCTCAGCAGGACAGGAGGAATATACAATGAAAAGCTTGTAGGTCGAGATAAGGACAGGGAGATCACTCACCAGTTATTGCATGTGCAAAACAGACAGGGAATATTATTTTAATTTACTGCCAGTGAATAACAGAGTAGGACAGCAGGAAATAAAACCAAAACTGAAAACACCTTCATCCCCATTCCTGCCCTTTCTTCCCAGTCTCAGAATTTCACTCCCATTCCTTCTTTCCTGATCTTTGTGTCTGCAGGGCTGTTTCTCTCACAATGCCCTAAATCCAATCTCAGCTGTTGTGCATCCTTTTTATCCCTTCTTAATATGTTGTCACAGAGGCATTGCCAGCATCACTAATGGGCTCAGCTTTAGCCAGTGGTAGGTCCATTCTGGAGCCAGCTGGAACTGGCTCTGTCCCATATGCAGGCAGCTCCTGTTATCTTCTCACAAAAGCCACCCCTGCAGCCCTGCACTCCCCCTGCTGCCAAAACCTTGCCACATAAACCCAATAACGCTGTTTGTCCCCTAGGGTACACCCGACCAGTATGAAAAGATGGATGTTTAAGGAATCAGGAATATCAATTGTGATTGCATAGAGGATTGTTACTAAAGTTGTGAAGTGTTTAAACAAGGGGTGTCATGGTACAAGTCTTTAAGTCTCCTTTCTACAGTGCTTGCACTTCCCCCTTCAGTGCAGGCTAAATGGTACTTACTGAGCCAAAGCAATTAGGAGCCAAGAAAAATAATAACACTGAATTATTTTTTTTTTATTCTTGTAGGCTCACCTTCACCATTATCTGCAAATAGATGGGATGGAGCAAAGCTGTTTTTCTGAAGCTGTGTCCTCGTTGTCTGATCTAATAGAAGAGTACAATGAACTGGATGTGACAAAAGGTGGGCCTAGAACAGACCCATCAAGACTGAAGATAGCTGTTTAAAGAAGGAAGAACTGCTCTTTATTTTTTTGTTTAAAAAGAATGAAATACTTCCTAAGCATCCAGCGACTTCAGTTAACCAGAATGACTTGCAGCATGCCTGGCTGTTGTAATTCTGAAGTGGGACCAGGACAACGGCTTCCTCAGCTCAAGAGTTGTCATATTAAGTGATAAGCCCTGCCTGTAAGAAAGATTTGACAGCACCTAATTATAGCTGATATCAGTAAGAGCAGTAATCCTAACTGTGGAGTAAATTGACACACCATATGCTGTGAAGAGAAGGAAAAGAGATTTTAGCAGCCAAAAATGTAATTCTTTTCTCAGACTTTACAGTAAACTAAAGGTAGGCCTTGCTTCAAAGAAAGATCACCATTGCTAGATTTGGTTTTTAATAAGCAACTACGAAGAAAAGAAAAGCTTATGTAGTCTTTTCAAAGATGAAAGCAAGTCTCTAATGAAACTACTTTCTTAAGCTTTACAGTGGACATTTCAGAATGCTCTAAGCTATGTTCATCATTTTAATATTTTTGCTTCTATGTTGTACTTAGCTATATTAGAGCATTCTGAGTTGATACCAAAATTGGCAATATCAGAAAATTCCACAAGATAAATTTTGTTTCAAGTGTTATACTTGGAGTATTAATTAACATATTATTTTAATGACTCATTTTCCTGAATGCTGAGTTGCACTTAATAATGAGATAATACAGTATACCTCTGACCAAAACATGCACTTATAGTGAAGTTATATATATATGTAAAGAATTATAACGAGTGTTTGGAGAATAGAGTTTATAGGCTTGAAAGAAGGCAAGTAAAATAGATGTTTTAATATTTATAATTATCAGGGTAAGCAGCTTTTTATATTACAGTAAGAACTTTTACGAAATAGAACATACAGCTATTTCCAGTTGCTTACCAGCCTCGGCTGTCTTAAAACAGCAGGACTGTTTTAACATCAGAATGGATCAATGCAATGATTTCTTGAAGCTTGAAGTCCTTCTAGCAGAGTTGGAGTGGGTGTATAAGTAAGCACAATTTTCAATGTACACGTCCAGAAGCATTCAATAAAACATTGTGCTAGCATTTGTGGAGAGCATTTTTTAAGAAAATGTTCTAAAAATAATAGTTTCCTTGAAATGTTGCATCTATTATCTGCAGTTGCCCGCCCACTTTTTAGTCCTTTACACATGCATTGTTTGTATTCACAACACTAGAGGAACACTATCTGCTGCAAAAAGCAATCTGAGTTTAAAGTTGAATTCTTCATTTTCAAACAGCATTGATGTGTTTTACTGTTGCAGATACATAGTCGAAAAGGTTAATTTAAGAATCAGGAATGATAGATGAAGTATTACAGGGTAATATTTTTTTGTAATAGGTTAGAGCATGTTTGGGTTTTTTTTGTGGGCAGCATCTTGTTACAGTGAGGCATGAAGCTGTCTTGCTTTGCCTTTCTTAATTACCAAAAGTTCTTGTTTGGACAGTACTAGTGTTACATGCATCCTTCTTAAGAATGTATTTCCCCATATAAAAACAGTTGCATTAAAAAGATGCACTGTTGCTTGTGTTTTTCAGTGACATTTAAAAAATGAGTAAGTATTCACTTATGTTATTTCACTGCTTATACTGTTTATACTGCCACAGTATAAACACTGCTGTGGCAGAGGGTTATGCTAACTCTTCAGGGTGTGAATGTGCTTTTGCATTGTCAGTGTGTTACAGTCAGTGGTGTAACTTGTCATAGGACTTTGAGTTCCGAAAACATATCTCCTGGAGCACTGCAAATCCTCTGACATACGCATGACGTTATCCACATCATCTTCCACTTGAAGAAGCCTTCGTTGGGACACTCAAACTGTACAGTGATCATTTTGGACTTATTAGGTATGCAGCACCTCTTGTCCAAGCACACCCCACAGAAAGTTAGTCTGTAGCTTTGAGTAGTTGAGCATCCAGAAAAAACTAGCTTCTCTGCTCTTGGAAGCTGGAATGTTGGTTGACATGTTTTTCCTTTTGAAATCTTTAATATTAGAACAAAGAAAAGCCTGAGTTTTCTATGCATTAAAAACAGACCGTGTAAGAAATAGTTGGAACATTTACTTAGAAATATCTTAAAAGTTAGTCTGAAACTAACTTGGTCTGAAACTGCCTTATTTTTCCTTTAGCAGTCAACAAATAGAAAATACTTTTGGAGTGACTGTGCAGCACTAGCAACACATCTATATCAGGACATTACATTTTTTTTGCTTTAAATTGCACATCTGTAGTTTACTATTGAAGCCTGAAGATTGAATGTAGAAAACATAAGAGTTATTTTAAAACCCTTAAAAAAGAAAGAAGTAAATGTTTTATTAGTAACTGCTAATACATCCATTTTTCCACTAGCTCCAACATTTTGGTTTTCTATTAAGAAGTAATTTTATATTAGAAAATACCTTTATTTTCTTCAGCATATTAGTCAGACAAGGCTGGATGAAGCATAATCTCTTTTCTTTTTTCATCTCACATCTTCTGTTGTCGTTGGTCACTCTGCTGGATATACCTATACCACAGGTCCTGGAGCAGGGTGTCCAGGGAGTTGCCTGTACAAGGCACTTTTTCTTCAAGACTAGCGGTAAGGTTCTGTAAGCTAAGACAGCAATATATTATTTATGCAGCAGAACAGCCCCAAAAGGATGAATCGAAAATACAAGGATACGACTTTGATTTCTGTTCCTGAAGGTACTTCTGGAGGTAAACGCAGAAATGAGACATAAATAACATTATACAAAAGCCAGCTGAGCTGCTGTTAAACATTACTGACACTGGATACTCAGATCCTAGTAAGGACTATCAAATTGCATATGTTATATGACTCTCCAGTTCCGCTTAATGGAAATGTTATGTGGAGAGGGTTATTTGTGGAATTTTTATGGAATGTCCAGATTCTTTTTATTTTATTTCAGGCCAAACATAGCTTGTAAAGGGCTGCTGCAAAACATTAATGTTCATTTCTTTGTAGATACTGTGAAGACTTTAGGGTTTGTGTTGAGGAATAAAATACTCTAATCACCAAAAAGCCTGTTTTTCTGATGGATGACGCCTGAATTTGGTGGAGTACACTTAAAAAAAGAAATAAAATTGTAGTGGAAAAGTTCATGGTGAAAGTCTGCAGAAAAACTATGTGGAATCTGGACATTTATGTAAGAGCAGAGGCAGAATTACCTGAAATTGCCAGAATTGCTGTCAGCTTTCCAGAATACCTGGAAGTAGACAGCAATTTAAAGATCTCGTTGAAGCAAGCTATTTAAAAGCCTTTCACAGAACTGCAACAAATAAAGAGAAGCTAAATGGTCATTTATACTTGGTATATTTTTTAAAGTATGACCTGTTTACATCCTTATGTGTCTGAATTAGGTAAATTCAATTGAAACAGAAAGCTAGAAAACAAAACAAGAGCAGTAAAATGAAACTTAGCACTTATCCACGCTAACAGAAAAAGGACTTTTCAAAATAGATATTGAGCCATCCGTGGAGTTCATGACAAGTTGACATGATACTTCTGCTGGTCTGGGAAATGGAAGGGGAAAGACTTTGAAACAAAAATTTCAAGGTGTATTTCTTTAGAAGGTTCCTAAAGAACAGCATCCTTCAGCACATACAGCCACCACAGAGACAGGGTGTTAGGTCTCTGAACTGAGCCAACAGGAAGGATTTGCAAGCTGGGTGTCTTCTCTCAAAGTTATTCTGCACAGTTGATTCAAATTCTGGAATGAATGTTGGCTTAATACTGTTCTCCAGATATCTGAGATATATCTCCCCACAAACCCAATTGCTGTATGTCAAATGGTCAAATGGTTTGATTGCCATTGTTTTCAGTGTGTTCTCTCTTGAATCAGATTAACACTGTTTTCTAGAAAAGAAATCACTCTTCACTTGAAGTCAGTTGCCTTACCAAATGCATGTTTATACAACAACGTTAAGGACATTTCTCTTAAAAGGCTTTGATATTAGATAGAGGTATTGTATCATAATTTTGAAGTAAGGATTCTTTTTTTATTTTTACTGACTTGTATAACCACTGCTAATGTGTAAGAAGCTGTCCAAACTGAACTTCAGGTTTTGTAAGCAGGTCTGTTTATCTGCAGATTGACTTCTGTGCATCTACCTGTTTACTCAGCAGCCTTTGAAGGTTTTCTGATAAGCTTTGCAATCCTTTTAGTTTTATTTTATTGATCCATGATCATGATTCAAGCTGCCACCAAGTAAATGGCTCAGCTGTCTGGTACCCATATTGGTTGTGATGAAGATGACTTTCACCATGGAAAGCTGCACATGCACAGGGGAGGAGATGGCGCAAGCTTAGGCAGCTGTGGCCAGGGAAGGGCCAGGATAGCTGCTTCTGTCATGGTGCTTCCTTAAAGTGAAAAAGAAAACTACAGGGTTAGCAGGAGAGCAGGAATGAAGTTAAAGGGAATATCAACTGACCCTGGCAGTTGACAAGCATGGACGAGCTTGTGGATGTTTTTTATCAGACTGAATAGAGAAGAAAGTAAGGGGGAGTGCTGTCCTTACAGTGACCTCAAATTTGTCAGGAAAGCCACTAAGGCAATTTTTATCATTTTTTGCTTTCTATTGGAAGAAGAGGCCTGCAGCATGTTAATTTATGTATGTGAAAACCAAGACTCTGTACCACCACAAAGCAGGAGAAAGTGAGAAAGCTCCCAAGCTGCAAAATGGCTGTCCACCAGCATCTCTAATTGGGCTGATCTGATGAGTAATAAACCTCTGCAGAATGATGCTTTGCCCAATTCCCTGGTGACAGAAGCCAAAAGCCTTTTTGCTTTTCACATTCATTAGGTTTAGAGAAAAGAATCTGTGACCTGAGAGTAAGAGGGATAAGTGGGACAGAACAGTCACCCTGGCAATGGCCTTCAGTAAGAACTGAGAAAGTGCCAGTGCATTGCCTGCCTGGTTGCTGGAGCCAGGGACACTAAATGCATAAAGGCTCATGTACAGAAAAGTTTACCAGTGTGGCCAGGCTCACCTGACATTAGTCTGTAGTTGGTTGATTGAAGCTGCTTGTGCTGTCCTAGGCCACAAATAGATTGTCCAGGCTTCTTTCTGCCCGTGACCCTGGTGCAGGGACTCACTGCTAGTTTCGGTGTGAATGCAGGTGTACATCCAATTGCACCACTGACACACAGGCACTTATAAAGTGGGTTAGGCTGGAAGGTCTGCCCGTTGGGATAATAAACTCCATTGAGCTCACATCCTACAGCTACCAGATCTGAAAATGGTGAACAACAGTTACTAACACAGGAGGAGCACGTGGATCTTGCTTAACAGAGTGCTAAAATGTGGTGAGCCATAAATGTGGTCAGCTCTTTAAATCAGTCACCAACATGTCTGCCAATAACAGGCTTGTGCATGATGAACTGGTTTCACTAATGCATATGCAGGTAAGTTTAAAGCCAGTCCCAGCACTACTCTTAGATTCTCTGATTGAGCAGTCAGAGAACTAAATTAGGATAAATTGCTTAGCACAGAGCTGTACAGCACCTGCAAGCAGAATTTTCCTCCAAAACCGTTTACCTGCATGGTCCCACCCTCCTGCATTTCAAGAAGGAAACGTGAAAGAACAACTTACATGCACACACGCCTTTTTCATACCTAGGCTCGTCTTCCGAGTAGTCGCAGTAGAGACCTTTATGGGGGTCACAGACGTCTGCTTCATTGCAGGGCTCTCCTGACTGCTTGGCACAGACTTTACAGCAGCCACAGCCATCCTTCACCAAGCTTACCCCAGGGGTGCAGGCTGGCACAGGTGGACATCTGCATGGCCAGTGACAAACCTCCTTGCGCTGGTGGACTTCACCAGTTTCTGAAGGTTTATCTCCAGGCTGCACTGGTGGGCTGTGGAAAAACTTACACACAGTGGGATATTTTGAGCGCTGAATGTATTATGTGTACCTGGAATAGCATAAAATAAAGTCGAGGTGGAAAACACTGTCACATTGGATGAAGACACATAACATTTCTCATCTCATGGGATTGAAAAGTGAAAGGCTGTGAGTTTAGGTAAGAGGCAGAGGACCATCTTCATCCACTGTCATGGACTGAGGTGTTCTAACAGTGAGCCTGGCCTACTGCTTGCACAAAACACAATTCATTGGTCTTTCCTTTGCCTTCCGTAGAACAAAACCTGTAGTAGAACTGAAGTAGAAAAAACAGTGTTTTAAAGTAGGTGGTTTTATTTTAAGTATTCCTTCCTACAAACCTTTTATCAAATTAATTAACTTTTGATTCGTCATATAGTTATATAACCAGCCACAGTCCTGTGTGCCAGTTCTGGTGGCAAAAGCATTTTAAAATAATGAACCTCTTTTGAATGTTATTTTTCCTCTAAAATTTGAGTAGTTGTTTGGGAGTACGCATTATAATATTTACAAATTCACTTGTGCTACACACAAAAATTTAATCCTAATAAGGGAGGCTAGTAGTCATACTGAGCTTAATAGGTTGCTTTCTAAGAGTGTATTTATTTGCATGACTAAGTCCTCATTGAATCCAGGGCTTATGGAGCAAAGAGATTTGTATCAGCAGTAAGAAGTCGAGATCTAGCCAGAATTTACTGTTTTGCACATTCTGTCTCAGAATTCATGGGGGGTTTTGTTGTTTGGGGTTTTTTTAAGTGAAGGAAAACCTAAGTAATTCTTGACGGGTTTATTTTTCTGAGGCATGGGGGGAGATTTAAGTCAGCACAGAGTGTGAAAGGATCTATTTGAGACAACTATGTTCTATCTGCATTTTTTAAGAACTACATCTAAAACATAACAGTTTAGATCTTAGCATTAGATCTTTTCATGCTGCTGATTTCAGCAGAAATGCAGATCATGCTATATTTGTTCTCCACAGATGACCGGTTCCATAATGAAGTAGAGGCACATGCAGCACTTGGCCACTATACAACATAAGGCCTGGGAGCCGCTCTCGTCAAGCAGCTCTGACTGCCCAAAGAGCAAAAGAGCAAGACAAGATCCAGCCCCTCATCAGGTGCCAGTATCACCATCAAGCTTGTAGAAAAAAAATAAAATATGTAGTCTATATTTTTTTTCTAGGCACATGAAGCCCAACCTATCGGTTTTTCTCTGTTCCTCCAAACCGCAGGGCTCTACTGATATAGAAATCACCTCCAGCAGAGATACTGAGGGAAAGGTCATGAAGGGGTCATTCAGCTGGGTTTCCTTTCTGCTCAACTTTCAAACTGGAAATCTCTGCAAAATTCAGCATTTCATATGTCATAGCCCATGGAAGCTCTCACACTATAATTAAGCTGGCCTAATTGCATGCAGCAGTAAATGACCTTTTAAAAGCCTTTTTTCTAACACTAATTTCCATTTTTCATGGTCATTTACAACTATACTTACAATATCTTAATCCACAGCTACTAATGAAGCTCCAAAATAGTAGCTTTCAAGTTCCTTTGGCTGAATGATTTTTAAGATAGATATTAATTTACACAGGCAATTCTTATAGGAAATGAAAATTAAAGAATGTCGTGTGGCATTCCATGCAGCATGAAGAAGATAGTTTAATAAATGTGTAATTTTGCAAAAGGATTTCTTCTAATCCTTTCTACCTAAATGCAGCCATAATATAGAAGCAACTAACTTAAGTGTACTTTTTTTTAGGCAGCTAAGCATTTCCTATAAACCATAACATTAATTTGATGAAGATGTGCATTGAAATGTAAAGCTTCTTGAAGGATCATTATGGAAACAAGACACACAGGTGTACCTATACATTTAGCAGTATTCAAGACTGTATGGTCTGTTCAGGAAACGCTTCCTTGCTGTTTTTTTTCTTTTTAAGCAGAGCATTATATTATTATTATTATTATTATTATTATTATTATTATTATTATTATTATTATTATTATTATTATTATTATTATTATTATTATCCGGCCGTGTGCCAGCTATATGAGGTTATGTGGCTTGAATCAGATACCACATTTCAAAATGGGTATGTGTAGCAGGAAGTAATCTTACGTGCTTCAGCCAATATGTTTAATTT